TCTAAAAGGAGACACGGGGACTGTATTACAGAATCTCGGGGAGTTTTTACTACATAATGGTAAAGTGGCAAGATATCCTGCAATTGTCATAGTGACAGATGCCATTATATGGGTTGTTTTTTTTTTAGTTGATCTCACTCTTGCTTTCTCGTACATTACAAGGTCTGTTGAATTGGACAAAAGTTTATAATTTTTAGGAACTAGCGTAGTGAACAAAATGCGTTTCATACAATTTCAAAAGTTGCAATTTCCTAATGTGGGGGAAACGTAAACACAATCCAATAGCTAATTGAATGTTTTCATACAGTTTGAGCAAATATTTCTGAACAAAGAAGATACAGATCATTGTACATAACCAAAAAAGCTGGATGGTGGATTTTTATAACAGTAGTACCCAAAAATAGGTAACTATACCACAATTGACCCTACTTTTCACTACGATATCTGTTCTAAAAATGAAGTGAATTTTCACTTTTCTTGAAAAATATTTATTCATCAATTTCTATTTCATCTCCTTCAAAGTAGTCCCCTTCGGATATAATACACTTGTGCCAGCGTTTTTTCTGATCGTCGAAGCAGTTCTGACATATACTGGTATGTCCTTGAGCTCTCTCAGCGAATCTGCTATCTCCTCAATCATCCCAAAACGACGTCCTTCCATGGGTCTCCAACCTTGGGAATATAAAAAAGTCGCAGGGGTCAAATCTGTTGAATACGGTGGCCGAAGCATGATTATGGTGTTGTTTTTGACCAAAAAAATTACGAACAAGCAATAAAGAGTGAGCAGGTGCATTATGATGCAAAAGCCATGAATAATTTTTTCACAATACTGGACGTTTTCTACGTATTGCTTCTCGCAAGCAGCGGTGAGATAATACTCCTTATTGACCATAAGATTCCCGTGTGAGTAATCACTCGTTCAAAGGTGAAACCTCGTTGGTCCTTAGCCCGCACAAGTTTCGAATTTTGGCAGTTGTCGTTCATAGGGGGGTGACAGCTGATTAACGAAAACAGATTGACTGTACGGCCATGGGGCAACAACTCCTGATGCTCTATGCCTCAGTAATCAAAGAAAACAGTAAGTAAAATCTCAACATTTGATGGAACTTGACGTCCTTTTTTTGTCTTGCCTCCTTCCTTGGGACAATTAGAATTCGGTTTCGATGTCATAAACATATACTTATGATTCGGCATAAGTTATGACCCTCTCAAGCAAATCTAGATTGCCGTTGACGTTATTCAACAATTTCTGAGCGATGCTCATACAACGGTTTTTTTTAACTGAAATCCAGCAATTTTGGAGCGAACTTAGCTGCCACACGCTTTATAACCAAAAATTTCCTATCCATAGAGAGACTCAAACCAGATTTTATAGAGAATCATCAAAATGAACCAGATATCAACAAAATTGGCTGTCAAAATCTTACTACTGAAAATGAAAACGAAATGGAAAAAGTTTCTACAGAGAGGTCTTACAACACCCGCTCTGGAAGCAAAGTTGAATTTCTTTTTCAAGACAAGCCAAGCGGACACTTCTACACCATTTTCAATAGGTATTGGTGTCTGCTATGGCCTTGCGCTAGAGAACGCTGGTGTCAGGTTTTGGAAGCAATGGCACTTTGAATTTTTCCTTTTTTTTTTAAAAATCATATTTCTGATGAAATGTGCAATCAATTGTCCAGAAAATACTTTTGTTGAGCCGCTTCAAAAACATGGAAACATCTTCAAAATATTGTCATTTTTGGTGCGAAATTATCATAATCTTTTTCAATTCAATCAAAACCTATGTAGCTCGAATCGGTTTTTTCGATAACTTATTAAATGACGATTCTGTACTGCCTTAGAATTAATAAATGTTGTTTTGATTTATTACCTGATTTATATTAACGTACCTATTTATATTGTGTTTATGTAGCACGAACTCGGGCCATACTAACAAGGCCAGTGTCGCCAGTTTATTTTCATGCTTAGCAGTAGAGTTTGTGCCAGAAAAACAGTACACGATGTATTTTATGGTGATTCTTTTTTTTTTCACAAGCATTTAAAATTAATATAGAAAGTAAACCGAGTCATCAGTAGATCTCACTGTCAAACAGTGCGATGTCTTCTTTCTCTGTAGTGGANAACATTTGGGGTTGATAATTTTTTTCATCATTATGATACACTCACCAAAATTGTTCACCTATGTACTTTTTGGAGCATTAAACAACAAAATTGAAATTAAAAAAAACGACTCAAAAGAAATATAAAAACCTCATGTCTAGTTCATCGTATTTAAACCTCAATCAAAATCACTGACATTGCAGCTATTTACTCATTAAGACCTTCAAAATGAGCTCAAACACGTCACGTCTGCTGTAAGTAGTCGAGGAGTTGGTCCTTTGCAGACTGTTCTGGTTGCAGCATCAAAGTAATGTCATCGTAAGTATGTACAATAGGTACGTGAAAATATTGAATTTTTATCTCGATGAACCAAGTTGATGTATTGTTAACCATAATTAAATGCAGAATTCCTCTTCATAATCTTGGAAACGAGCTGGTAACTTTCAAACGGCTGAAGTGATTTTTATGAAACATATCTAAGAACCATCCAGACAAAATAAGCTATCTGCCATAGATAGGCACACAAATACACATGTCAAACTTATATAACACCCTTTTTTGCGTCGGGGAATGAAAATTAAAAAAATAAAGTAATTAAAGAAACAACAATTTTCTACTTCTGGTTTTACTGAACTACTTATTTATTGGTTCTTAATTTATCTTTGATGCTATATCTGCTTCAATGAATAACACTGCCAATTCTGAAAGTCTTTGTTGACCCATTGTACTTCTTAAATATTTTTTATTAGATTTTGAAAAGATCCTTTCTGCGGAAGCAGTACTTAAAAATATTGTTAATGAAATTCGAATGACAATGTGAACATTTAGGTAAATTTCTTTTAAATCGTTCTCTATAATATAATAGAGTATTTCACGTCTTTAATGAAGTTTGGTAAATTTGGGATCATATTTTGTAGTTCTTCATTTAACTTGTGAGGTTGGAAGTCTGCTAAGTCACAGAGAGAAAAAGAAAATTTTCCGTGTTGATTTAAAGACATAAATCTCGAATAATACATATTGCTCATCACATAATCAATCATGGTATTAAAAAAATGTTTCCTACCGGCTTTTGACTAACTGTAAATGTTGATCGCTGTCTTCATAATCAAAGATATTTTTCTTCTATCAGAAAAAAAAATATTTACAAATTTTTCCTTCATATTCTTTCGTGCACCAAAGAGTGGAATATCTTCAGGTTGAAAATGTTCAAAAGTTCTTTTGGATTTATCAAAATTTATTGTCGGCTTTGCGGCGCGAGGCCCGTTGCACTGCTAGGCCGTGGGCGGTGGCCCACACCGCCCTTACGTCGCCTCTGCCCACAACTGAATCATATTTTGAACTATTCCTGTTGAAAGACATGAAAGAAGTATGGCTCCATTTCCGATATTTCTATCATTTCAGTCAAAAAATGAAATTTGACTGAAAATGGCTATGATTGAATTCGTAAGAGAATTCAATTTTCAATAATTCATTCAAGTGATAGTCTAAAACAAGTACTTTTCCCAATCACCAGAAATGCAATACCCTTCTGGACGCGCATTTACCAACCTTTAGGAGTATGCTTTTTTTTCTGTAGTTATCCTAGTTCTCACAGCAAAGTTCAATATATATTATTTATAAGAATCAAAAAGGATACAATCATACACACTGCTCCAAAAAGAAACATCAACACGAAATCTGCAGTCCTATTTCGGAATGATCCTTCTTCCAACATCCTGCAATATCTATAGGTGAAAATCATGTTGAAAAAGAAGTTGAAACCAAATGTTCCAAAGAAAAGGAATGTTGTTATTAATCGCCATACTTGGCCCTGCTTCAATATTAAAATTGGATTGAAGTACAATTGGAAAGGAGATGCCAGTTCTAGTTGCTAAAAAACAAGTTAAATTGCTTCAACTGATTCTCGGGTGTTGATAGAAATTAGGGAAATTTTATCAAGGATTTAGGGTATGATGGATATATCTTACCACTCCTAAGGTAGTGATAACACATGCAGTTGTGTATGCCCTCGTAACCGGGGGCATATTCATGTATTCATTTCGTAAGCTCTGATATGCCATTTTGGTCCTAAATCTTTGTTATCAGGACATCTTACGATTCATTCGTAAAAAAACAAAAGATTCAATTTTTGAAATGACTACAAATCTAGTGTTTTGGCCACATCAGAAATTAAACATCTTTATTGATAAATAAAAATATGCTCGTCAGAATTTTACGTCACTTGTCAAATTTCAAGGTCAAACTGGGTATGTCTACCAGAGTGATGAATGAGAGAAAAAAATGTATTTTGATTTATAATAAACCAATTAATTTTCAAGATTTATACATAATTCCATTTCTGTAGATATGGAGTATGCTACAAAGTTCTCATTGTATAATTTTGAAAAAAATCTGGTCACTGTAATGTCTTCATGAGGACATTGGGATTACCTACTAACCAACATGAGAAATAAAGAAAGTGAAAGAGAATCGATATCAATTCCACATTTATCTCTGATTGTAAACAACGTTGAAATGTCTAAAGTAACTGAAAAGATCCAAGTTTTACATCCTCTTTTTACGTAAGAGCTGTGTAATGTTAATTTTACACTTCTACTTTAAACGATGATCACATCAGAGTAGATGGAATATTTGCCATCTTTGGTACAAACACAGAATTTATGCTTTACGTACATCAGATAGGAAATAAAAGTGCAAAGTGTATGAACATGACTGATAAAGAAATTGTATTGTGAAACAACATGTATTGCGGCTTCATAAATTGTTTAGTGAGAATCTCACAATAGGGTGTTACTTGAATAAGTGTCAACTAATTTTAAATATTTTTATCAAACTGTTAAACTGAGCATATAGGAACTTACCTGTACGAAATATCAGACTACTTTTCGTCTATGCTTTTCATAGTTGTTGCCAATGAATTATAATTAGGATAATTCATTTCTGTTCAAAGATTATCTGATATCTAATTGTTTTCTGACTACCAGGATGTTCATCTGTAGATAATATATGTTTGAATCAATTATTTTGCGTCTTGTAAGGATTGAAATGGGAAAATGGCTTCTCTGAATGCAGCATATAGTCACTTTTCAAACCGATTGGATTTAAATAATAACCGTCTACCACATTAAGCTAAGGCGGCAATAACCGCTGAAAGCTGGTAGACGTAAGCATGTCATTGCTTGCGTATAATAAAATAACAGTTGCCAGTGGTTGAAGTTGTTTTATTTCTGAATGTAGTAGACGTATTTTCGCCAAATCCAGTCACTAGACTGAATCAGAGTGCTTTTTTTCCTTCTTTGAATGATTATGCCGCATGATCTGACGGGTTGGCAATTTCAGAATTGGTATATAATAAAATCACAATCTACAGAGAAAATATTGCCTTTTAAAATGAGTTGACTATATTTTCCATCTTTACTTATGGAAAATACTTTCTAATTGTTCAAAAAGCTCTTTCAAGATACATTAAGTGTATCGTTTTTCGCTTTATTGTCCTGGACGCTGTCATTTGATTCCAGATCGATGTTACTGTGTCAGATGTCAACGCTGTAGTATTGTATTTGAGTTTGTCAAATTTTGCATTCCAAAAACACACTTGTATTTTGCATTATCTAAAAAAAAGACTTGTAATCGACATAATTTGTATTTAGGAGAAAACAATTTTAGAAATGGTACTAACTAAAGAGTATCGAATATGTATGCCTATGACTGTGGAAGAGGTACCCCAATCAATAAAGAAAACAAGTAGAATTTCCAATTTTTTTCTTATTTCTAGTATCAAATAGGGCAACTGTATATGATAGCGCGACACAGTCTAGAACAATCTGGTGGTGGTGAAGGAGTTGAAGTAGTTGAAAACAGGGAATGTTCAGATGAAAAACATGGAAGTGGACAGTTCACAGAAAAACGAATACATCTATCAAGGTTTATTTAAAACCCATCTTCTGAAAATATGATAAAAAATACAAATTACTTTAGTATGTTTGCCATACAATGGCTGGTTTGGGTGTGCCTTTACTAACTATATTCTACATAATCAATGCCTAATATACCTAATTCAACAATTTGAAATAACTACATTTCAAGTACCTGAGTTTGTAATGATTTAAATTACCTGAGCTTATGTCTCAGTTTCCACATTTGAAAAATATTTGGTAACGGGGAGGTATTCAATTCTAATGGATCATTCAGTAGATTACCTGAATTCTTGAATCTATTGATTTCTAAACATTCCAGAAGATTGAGTTTCAAACTTTTCTCTTCTAAATGTAACACGTAGTATTCATGATTGAATTCATTTACTTCTGTTGAAAAGTGGTTTCCAAATGTGGAGTTTGTCTTTCTATTTTCAAAACTACTTCTATGCTCTTTAATTCTTTGGGAATATGTTCTTCCAGTTTTGGGCCAGAGCCTCAAGTCAGCTTATATACTCTATCCGACACTGAAGTTTTGACTTTATTGTTTTTAATAAATTTACTTAGACTATTCTGTAAGCTACGTTTACACAATCTTTCTTAAAAAAAACGGGCAATATTATTAGTGGGTTTACCCAAATATAATGTCCTATAACTGACGTTATCGCATCTTGAATTTGGGTAGACCTGGCCAATGGCTTGCTTTTGTAGTTTTTTGGAAAGAATGGAGTCTATAATATCTACCTTACAACCATTGTTAACCGCGGTTTGTTTGATCAAACTCAGCTCTCTCTGGAAATTACTCTCAGTCAGTGGAATATTCAATAGTCTGTGAAGCATACTATTAAATGCAACAACTTTATCCTGGTAAGGGTGTGTGGAAGAATTATGTATGATAATGTCTGTGTAAGGTGGTTTGGGGAAAATTGCAAATTCATGTTTATTGTAATTTTTCGTAATGGTTGAGTCAAGGTAATTTATTAAATTATTTACCCCCCTTTCACTGGTGAATTTTATTGATGGATGGATGGAATTGACATATTTAACGAAATTGATCAATTAGCCCTAAAATTAGTCCTCTATTCACATAATTGTTGGAATGTCTTTCAAATGCATTCCGTTTCAAATCTATGACGCCAAATATGGTAAAAGTTGTGTGATATTTTATTAAAACAACGATAAAAATAAAATAAAAACAACAATAAAAATTAATTGGCGCTCCGGGGCGACTTCATTGATTCCAGTGGTAAAAGTTGTTTATTCCACGTTGTTTCATTCGAAAATTCATGATGCAGGGCTGTATTTTCAGTGATGTTATGTTATCTTTTGTTCATTTAGTTGAAGTATATCGTAACTATTACTTTTCCGTTATCGATAAATATATCAAATATTGAATATTTCAACAGTTCTCATTGATTTGAAAAGAGGAGGGAAAATATATCAGACATTCTTCAGGGTCCTAATCAAAGGATAATAGAAATAGTTTCGACCATTTTTCAAGAGGATCGAAGTTGATATAAATATCTTACTTTTTACAATAGTTTAGGGACATTATAGGAATACAATAACTGTGTAAAGATTATTACCACTTTTAATTGAACTACATTTCTTATCAGACAAAATTGGATTCTTCTGATCATATCCTTCCTATGAGTTTTATCAAGTAGCCTTCATAACTATACATATTATTAAAATGTGACTACATTCAGTGAAAAAATATCAATAACATGTTTGTGATTTTTAATTTTTCTAAATTCATTTCAGTCGTCTTCCATATTGGGTGCAATCTATTATACCAAAGATTTTTTATGTGACTGAAAAAGCTTGGAACTTTTACCCATATACGACTACTGAATATACTGTGAGTACAATTACATGTCTACATAATTTTATATTTATTGACAAGTGATCTGCAAGTTTATTTAGTTGATAGTGACTACATCAATCTTTAAAGCTTTTTAAGAAAATAAGAAGCTGTCTGTATAAAAATGGTTATTGATGTATTGAAAACTTTTTTTTTAGTGTTCATTCATACCAAGGTTCAGGATATCCATCGAAACTAAATATGAAAATAATAATGGATGTACAGAAAATGTAGGTAATTATGTCTCGTTCATAATATGGTGTATTGAATTTCAGATGAAGGTTTCTAAAGGAGTAATGGGTATCAACACTGAATAGGTGGAACAATTTCCCCATTATCATTATTTGAGAAAACTGTATGTGAAATATGAACGGTAGTTGAATATAATTTATGAAGCCTGGGGTGCAATACACTATATATTGAAAATTCTTCTAATCAGTCTCAAACATAAATTCTTATTTTTCAATTCTGTAGGCACTCTTTCGTACACACTCAGCTATCTATAGTATAATTATTATTACTTCAGTGTCTTGGTTTGATGCCTGAACAACTAGCAGAACGTGTTGTGGATCACATTGATATTGCATATGACGAAGTTTCTCCCAAACATTATAAGGAAGAGGAGGATCCTAGGTTCATCCAATCGAAGAAAACCCATCGGGGTCCACTTGTAGATGGTTGGCGGGAAAATTATCAACCCATAATGTGTTCATATAAACTGGTTCATGCCTCATTTGAAGTGTTTGGTATGCAAACTAGGGTCGAAGAGTTTATTCACTCTGTGAGTATTTTTAATATACTAGAGTAGCACTGAAAATTTCTTAAATTCATTAAATTCAACCCTTTTAATGAAGCCATTCGTTTGGTTCATGTCTTTTTGTGTTGGTATTGTCTCGGACATTTTGGTTGTTTGCAATGTTTTTTTATTTTTTTTTAAATATCTATCTAATATGTCTGATGGTTTTTATAATAGTGATATTATCAATAAGCAAAAACTACTTTTCGAGCCCTTAAATTCGAAACGTCGGCAAGAAAACAATTGTTTTTTTAAGAAAAAATTGATCTGGTTACCCAACCAATCTTTTTTCAGAAAAATATTGGATCACTAAACCAGTTAACCTTTTAATAATACTTGAAGTCAATGTGGCACCCTTCAGAGTATTTATTCTTGGTTGGATACTGGTTTGAAGAAACTGACATTGTTTTATTCGGCTATTGAATTTAAAAATTGTTGATTTGTCTTTGAGATGATTTTCTTTTCCTTCCACATCACATTTTGTTGATGAAAAAAATTGAGATTGGTATTGAAACAAATATCAACAATGTGGCACAAAATAACGATAGCTTAACATTTTCCCAGTTTTTTTTTTCAATAAGAAACATTGCCAGTTTCGAGTCAACTAGGAATTACTATTTGACTCGGGTCTCTAGTTCTGTCAGCAATATAATGTAGCAGAATTGAATCATTATTATTTACTGCTAGAGACAAATATTTTGTCAATTGTAAATTTAAGCTCGAGACCTTTTGGACTCTGATGTCATCAGTTACTTTGAGTAACAAAAGAAGAAATTTAATATTTTTTAAAGTTCTTTCGCAACTCATTGCGCCAGTAATGACTACAATACTATTGTATAAGTAACTCTTTATTGTGAGAATTTCACTAAATAGTTTACAAAACCGCTAACAATCACAAAACTGATTTCGCCATACAATAGCCTCCTCTAGTGTTTTCTACTTAGACATTTTGTGCTTTATATAATAACAATTTGAATCATATAAATTAAACTCCTTGAGATTTTTAATACAAATATGACAGTAACTGAATACGTGCTTTAATTTTTGTGTTGTGTTGACACTATGAAGGGCTTATGATAAAAATGTCTATACAATCAGAAACAAATTGAAGTCTACTAATAATAACGGAATTTGAAAGAAAATAATTGTAAATCACCAACGTCTTGACATGGGTACTAATAGAATTGAAAAGTTCAGAAACTTACAATCACTAAATTTTAGTTAAAAATTTTTTCAATATTTTCTAGTATAAATATAAACTTTTCAGAAAATATATCCTCTGTTTCATGAAGATTGTTTATAATAAATGAAAATAGTTGCGTTACAAAGAATATATTCAATAAAAAAGTGCATGTATTCTACTGTTATGTTATGAGCGATTATAAACAATTTTCAAACAACCAATTATTGTAATGTTAATAAGAAATATGTAATGTTTCGCCAACAATATCAACATTTAAATAAACTACTTGTAGATAGAGAACAAGTCCAACTGACTAATTCACTAAAAGATTAATTAAAAACTCAACAACGAAACTGAAATAAACTAGCTTGAATGGAGAATACAGCTTTTCAACAATAAAGTTAATCAAGCTAACTTGCATCGAAAATGAAATTTGACTCTACTATAACATGGATCCGTATAGACGTGCGCTAGGTCGTTATTCAACCGAACACTACTACAAATCAAATGCAATGTTTTAAAAACGCTTAATAGAGGAGTGTTGAATAGCTGGTAAGGAAATCAACAAACTCACTCTCATCAACTTACCTCGTCAGGTGTGGTGGTTCGTTAAATTTGAAAATAATCTATGAAAATTTGATTCTAAAATATTTTGCTTGAACTGTGATATAGACACCAGAGAAATTGTTATTTTTTATATGATGGTTGAGTGGAAGGTCTGCTACATTAAATGAAGGCAATTCATTATTATTTTTCTTTAATTTTTTTTGGTGTCATCGGCATCGACTACATTGGTCATTAGCCTCGTGTCCTGGGTAGCAATATTAATAACTCTCACAGCCACCTAGGGGGCATCATGGCTATTCGCAATCCGTCAGCCATGTAACGTTGCATTATCATCCCAGCTTCAACTAAATACATTCTCTCGAGAAAAATATATGGTCGAGGTTGAGTTCGAACTCACGACCTTCCGGTCTTGAGTCGGTTACACTACCACTGGGCCAATTCATCGCGTATTATTATTATTAGTATTGTATTATGTAATCATAGTATGTTTTCAATAAGACAATAATATTAGCTATTGAGTTTGTTGATGAATGAATAAATGAATGAATTGCATATTAATACACAGTGTTTTTTATAATTTCAGTGTATAAGAGAAGTTTTACTCCTTGGCCATAGACAAGCATTTGCTTGGCTTGACGAATGGGTAGAGATGACAATGGAGGACGTTAGAGAATTCGAAACTAATTTACAACAACAAACAAACTGTTTGTTCAAGGCGGAAGTAACTCAAACACCGAGCTTATCGTCTCAAATTTCCGAAGATTCTGATGCAGCGGCATCTTTCTCATTGGAAAATTCACCACCAGAGACTCCTAAGTCGCCGAAATCTCCTACTAAAAAAGGCTACTTCTCTAGTTGGTTTTGAACTAGTAAATACCTGGTTTTTGATGTACGCTGTTTCAAACCAATGAAGAGATGTTTGTGTTATGACTAATAAAATTTCTTTGTTGATTGTATTTTATTCGTGAAAAGCATCCACATATCTGTTAAATATGTTCATTTTATAAATTATAGGGAATATTATTTCAATATATGGTCATAGTATGAGTAGAGATTTTTCAGTCGGACTTTTTTCCCTACTACCAGGTTCAAACTGGTGTACCCCAATTAAGTATAATGAATCAAGAATTTCTGACCGTTCAGTCGAAAGTTTATTACTTCAAGAGGACGCTCAGATATCATTAACTGTAGTGATCATTCTTCACACTTGACGTTTTGTTGAAATAATTATACTCGTTTGCGATTGAGGCCTTTGAAACAAGTGAATATACTGGAAAAAAAGTTTTTTTTGTTTTTACTTCGCCATCATCAAACAATATCTCATGTTTTTTATACCTCTTTTATTTGTAACTAACGTTACTGCAGTTTGGTCCAATAAGGACATTTTCAAAGTTTGTCTATGGCACTGTAGCCCTTATACTGGTAGATCGATTCTGATGCGGTTTTTTTATTTAATAATTAATTTTGTTGGGATGGTTCTTAGATACGCATTCAAGTATAGTTAACAATAATAATTTTTAAATGTTGGTGTTTCTTGATAAATAAAAATTTGTTCAACTTGAAATGTTTTCTTCATTTTATAAACCGTTCTTCTTGCACCATCAGAGGGCTTCGCGAAATGTATAGTGCCCACATTAAATTTAGATCTAGCACCGCCACTGTTTGTGGGGGATATTCCGAATGAGAGGAATACCAATAAATTCTATAAGAACCAAGGTGAAAATATTTTCTATTTTTGTTGTATCATACAATTTCTAATTGTTCGAATATTGAGTGGTTAAAAAAATTGAAGAAGACACCGTTAATGTGGATTGCCACTCTGGCACTGAAGTCTAGCGTTCTAACAACAACTATTAGAAGCCTACAAATTGGTGTAACATAAAGCTATTCAAGTTTCTAGTAACTTTCATTTCATTAATAAATGGCGAACTTTTGAAAAGTTATTGAATAAGTACAAATTATGGGGAAATACTTCCTTTTACTTTCACTTCTCAGTTTTTTGTAGAAAAATATGAATTCCAATACCTACGAAATGTCAGTTCACTGAGTGACTTTGACATTTGAGAACATACCTATTTAGAAGAAAAACATTCTCAAGGCTTACTTCTGATTGAAAATGATTGAAATACAACTTTGGTAACGGCGTGCGGTGGAAAGAAATTTCAGAATGTTAAAGACAGTTTTTCACTTGAGAAAAAACGTATAATACTTGGACGAAGTCAGATCGGGTGATGAGTAGGTAGGTAAATCAAGAACTGTTTACATAACAATATGCTGTCTTTGTGCAAGGGCGTTGTTCTGCAACATAGAAAACCTTTGGACAATTTTCCGCTTCTTTTATGCATATTTTTTCCTTATATAGTGAAAAATTATGTCAAATAGTAATTTCCAGTTAATGTTTCACCAGAAAAAACAGTCATGATTACTCCTTGGATATCCCAAACAAATGAACGAAGAAATTTTTGAATATGATTTTTCCTAGGCCTTGGAGAACCAGATTGTCTGAATTCCATCAATTGCTGTTTTGTTTCTGAGCTGTAAACATGTACCTAACCAAGTTTCATCCTCAGTTTGCATCTTTTTCAAACTAAGCACAGATCCAAGACGATGATTATATCCTTGCACGGTTCTGGTCAACATATTTCAAACATTTGTGGATCTAATTTTCAGAAAGTTTCCTCATGTCCAAATCGACGCGACCTGTATGATGGATGAGTTGATATGAAATATTCAGTGCCTCAGACATTCGTTTCAACCCAATTCAACGGTTTGATGAANTTTGTGATTGTACCCTCATGAATAATTGTTGTATCATGATAGAAGGCAAGTCATCAATATTCATTATGGCGAAACATCGCGAATCAATCCACTACAGAGAAAGAAGACATCGCACTGTTTGACAGTGAGATCTACTGATGACTCGGTTTACTTTCTATATTAATTTTAAATGCTTGTGAAAAAAAAAAGAATCACCATAAAATACATCGTGTACTGTTTTTCTGGCACAAACTCTACTGCTAAGCATGAAAATAAACTGGCGACACTGGCCTTGTTAGTATGGCCCGAGTTCGTGCTACATAAACACAATATAAATAGGTACGTTAATATAAATCAGGTAATAAATCAAAACAACATTTATTAATTCTAAGGCAGTACAGAATCGTCATTTAATAAGTTATCGAAAAAACCGATTCGAGCTACATAGGTTTTGATTGAATTGAAAAAGATTATGATAATTTCGCACCAAAAATGACAATATTTTGAAGATGTTTCCATGTTTTTGAAGCGGCTCAACAAAAGTATTTTCTGGACAATTGATTGCACATTTCATCAGAAATATGAAGTTTGAAAAATAAAGGAAAAATTCAAAGTGCCATTGTGTTTAGTTGAAATTTGAAGGAGGCATATAAAATTGAAAATGAACAATTTAATCGATTTTTTTAAATGAAAAGTTGACAGGTTCGGAGTAACATGACAACTAAAATGGTGCTTATATTTATTCGTTTTCAAAATAAGAACTAAGTCGAAGTCAAATTTCAATTGAATCTATTGATGAGAGAAGTTTGATGTGGTGCAGAATTTGATATGCAATTTACTGATGTCACTAATTTAGTTATCGATTTTAAAATTTTTTGAGAAAGTGTTAAATTCACTTATGACTATGTAGAAAAGTACGACACTTCATATTGAATGGGTTCAAAAGAAATTCCTTAAATTTTTGACGTTCAAGTGGAAAATGCCTTTGAAAAACCATTCATTCATTAGAAGATATGGCGGCCGATATACTGAAGCTAAGTAGTCGTAAAGTTAAGAATGACTTGAAATTTTCATTTCAGTTATTAAATTATCTTATTAACTGCTCTGCACTGCTAGCACACATTGGCTTACACGTTTCTTCTAGAAGTACAATGCATACAGAAACATTTGCTACAGATTTTCATCGTTGTAACTATGGCAAACACTCTCCCCTGCCTAGAGTTTGCTATTGGTGGTAATATAGTCGATCTGGACTTTTTCTCACTAAACAAAACTAAATTTGAGTTTGCATTACGCTGTTTCACAACTTAAATAATCTAATGAGACGAACAAAAATACTTTCTATAAAAATCAAGTAATGGAAGCAGGAAATAACTATAAAATAGTTTGGGAAGTTATTAATTGTGCATCCAATTCAACCTCGTCGAAACAGGAATTAGGAACGATGAACTTACTAGGAACAAATGGAAAGGAGATAACAGATAACACAGAAAAATCAAATATCTTCAACATATACTTCACAAATATAGGGCATAACTTAGCAGAAAAGATTGGACAAAAAGATAAAAAAGATCCACATATAAATTTTATGACTCCGGATAGAACACTGGATGAATCTAGACCCAGTGTCAGATAATGAACTAATTGAAACTGTCTGAACATAAGAAAAATAAGTGTGCCGCTGGAGAAGATGAAATCTCCAAGACATAAATAAAATCAGTGTACTCTAGTATTATTGCTTCTTTGAAACATTTAATAAATTCGTCTTTCGAAACAGGTATTAGTACCTTCCCAGTGGAAAAATGCAATTATCACACCCATTCATAAATCTGTTGATTACAAAACTCCTAGCAATTATAGACCCATCTCAGTTATAAACAACTTTGCAAAAATATTCCAAAAGTATTTGAAACATCGTTTGATGAAATTTTTTGCCAAGCATAAGTGTTGTCGTAGGCTTGGATAGGTCAAGAAAATGTCGAAACTGTATCGCACAATATTTTACTTGAACGTCTCAATAAAGTTGGCATACGTGGCACAGCAATGAATCTATGAAAACATTATTTAGAAAACAGGACACAGCGAGTAAAAATTGAAGAGTATCTCAGTGAGTCACTGAAAATCACAATAGATGTTCCATAGGGTTCAGTGCTGGGTCCAATTTTGTTTCTCGTGTATATCAACGACATTGCTGATATAAATAACTTTCATGGCCACATAGTATCATATGAAGATGGTACTGTATTGTTTTCATAAACGATACATGAAAGAAGGTATATGAATGTACTGAATGAAGCATCTCTTACATCCACAGTTGGTTGAATCATAGCCTATCAACAGTAAATTTTCAGAAGAGTAATTTTATCACCTTTTCTTTAACTACTGAAGACCAACCTACAGAAAGATATATTTCAGTACATAGTTATTCTTTTGGCGAAATATGTCTCAGAGAGTTTGTCCACAGATTGAAAAAATTAATAAACTAAAGTATCTTGGTGTGATAGTGGGCCAACACCTAAAGTGAGATCTGTTTTTAAATCTGTTTTTCCGTTAATCAGCTGTCGTCCCCATACGAACGGCAACTCTCAGAAGTTGAGAAACTTGTGCGAGCTAAGGAATAACGAGGTCTTACCTTTTAACGTGTTATTCATAACACGGTTGTAGAATATCATCCCAGCTTCAACCAGATAAATTATCTCGAGAAAAATATCTGGTCGAGGCGGGAATCGAACCCACGGCCTTCCGATCGTGAGTCGGGCGCACTACCACCGAAGCCAATTCCACAATTATTTGCTATGTGATTTTCTCAGCAGGAAAAACCTTTCCATAATTTATAACTCATTGCCTGAGTCAATTTTAAGATATTGCATAGTAATATGGGGAGGTCTCTACCACAACGCTAAAAAAAATGCAAACTACTCAAAATTGTTTGCTAAGAATACTCTTCAAAAATGACAGATTATATAATATAAAAAGTCTGTATAAGGAATCCAAGCAACTAAATTCCAAAAACTTATTTGCATATTATTGCCTGATATATACCTACCTACCGCAAAACAAAGCCCATTGTTAATGCGTTTTTAAACATTATGTTACTCCATTCATAGAAAACAAATGTATTGACTTGCCAATTTTGGCCCTAAACTATATAATCCACTACCTTTATGTGTGAAAGAATTGAGAAGGAAAAAAGCTTTTAAAACTGAAATAAAGGAACTCATAGAGTGAGATGAAATTAATTTTGATCTTTATCTACAGCTGATAACGGAAAAACAGAAATAGACAAATCT